AGTCAGATATGACTGAAATGACTGAATGACAACAAAATGTAATAAAATACTATAGCACCATAAAGAAATGATGAAAGGGATATATTCAGAAACCTGGGAACATACATGAATTGATGAAGAGTGAAGTCAGCAGGAAAAGGAAAATAATTTACATAGTAACAACATTGTAAGGAAAAGCCAACTTTAAAAGACTTAAGTACTCCAATCAGTGCAATGCCAAAAAATTTCAAAAGACTGATGAAACATGCCTCCCACCTCCTGCCAGAGTGATGATTACAGACCAAAACACGTTCGTTTTCAGACAGCCTAGGTGGGAATCTGTTTTGCTTGATTAGACAATTTTGTTACAAGACTTTTGTTTTTCTCTTTTCCTGCGGAGGGCAGGGGAGAAATGTGAGGATTATTGATAGGATTGACAAAGAGGAAAAAAAGGGAAAGGGGGAAAAAAGAGGTCATTGATGCACTTTTTTTTTAGTTTTAATAATGTTGACATTTTAGTAAAGTTGAAATAATGATAATAAATAGGTATACATATGGAAGAGTGGTGATATGAAGCCCCTTAAACAATAAGATTAAGATAAATATCAATTCTATATTAAATTAGAAATAAATGACAGAAAAAATCAAGTATATTAGTGGAAAACAATAAATGTGAGTAGGTTAGATTCTTTTATTAAATAAAAATGAGTTACAGAACGAGACAAGAAATGGAGTCCATTATGATGTTGCTTACAGGAAACACATTCAGCGCAATCAAGGAAAGGGGAGCAAGGCCCCTGTTTGATCTCTTCCCTTTTTCATTGCTGCGTTTTTAAAGTGCACAGAACAAAACAGGAGAAAGGCTAGGAAACAATCAGCACAGCTTTGGAAATTGTGTAATGAATTATACTTAAAAGGAAAAGTAAGTTGTTAGTTAAAACTCAGAGTTTCATAAATAATCCTCTCCTGTTCTACTTTGCACATGGAAATGTTCACTTTATTTAATATTTGATGTCTGTATCATTTGATGTCAAATTCAGAATAGGAAATATACTAAAACTTAAGAACCTTCACCATGATAAAAGCACAGGATTAGGAGTCAGAAGGTCTAATTTCAAACCTTAGCTCTGTCTCTTACTGCCTGTGTAGTATTAGACCAGTCAGATTACTTTTCTGAGCCTGTTTTCTCATCTGCAAAATGGGAGTTGTACCAGACCTACAAAGTCATCTCCAGCTCTAAAGTTAAAAACCTATAATAAGCCTGTAATCCTAGGAACTGTGATGAAGGAAGGAATTGGGATGTGAGGGTGGAGGAAGGGCATGGGAATCAACAAAAAAAAATGAGAATGTAAACTTATGAGTAAGGATTGTTTCATTTATTATATCACCAGCACCTGGCCTGATGCCCAGGTTCTTAATAAGTATTTCTTGATTGATTGAACAGCACTTTAGAAAAAGAAAATGAGGGTTGAGATAAAGGTTGATAAGCAGAAGGGAAGGAAACACAATGAGAAAGGAAAGTGGTCTGAGGAGATAAAAAGAGGATTGGAATGGAATGAGATTTGTGCTACTGGGGAAGAGCAGTGGACAATTCACTAATCCAAAATTCAATAAGTAATTCAAGTGTCTGATCAGGTCTGCACACCTCAGTCTTCCATCCCTCTCAGGGAGGGCAGCTAGACTGTACAGTGGATAGAGCCCCAGGCCTAGAATCAGGAGGATCTGATTTCAAATACAGGCTGACACTAGCTGTGTGACCCTGGGCAAGTCACTTCAATCCTGTTTGCTTCAGTTACCTCATCTGTAAAATAAGCTGGAGGAGGAAATGGCAAACCACTCCAGTGTCTTTGCCAAGAAAACCTCAAATGGGGTCATGAAGGGCTGGACATGACTGAACAACAACAAATATCTTCAGGATCTCCCAGAGATATTAAATTATCTCAACTTTGGCATCCTAAATATTTTAAGATGAATAAGGAAATATTTTTGTAATCTAACTAATCTTAAGTAAGCAATCCACCTCTCAATCTGAATAAGCTATGGTCTAAAAGGGACAGTGTGTGATGGGCCGAAGAGTATATTTTTAGGGGGTAGAAGAGAAGAAGGCTGTTCTTATATATATTTAACTATGACTTAAGGGCTTAATGCCTTAAATAATTATTTAATAATTTAATTAAGATAATTAAATAAAAATTCTTAAATATCTTAACTATGATCTAAACTATGACGTGGACAGACTCAATTAATTTAACATCTGTCTATCCTTTATCAAATTAAAGAAACATTTCTCATTCTTCTCCCATTTAGCAAGTACTAGGCTAGGCAGAGAATGTGAAATAATTATCTGCTTACATTTACTGCATCATCATAATGATTTTCTAATATTGTCTTCCCTGATAATTATAATTTATTTGGCACTTTATATGGCACTTCAAGGTTTGCAAAGTTCTTTACACGTTATTCCATTTGATCCTAACAACCCTGAGGGGTAGGTGCTAATATTATCCCTATTTTACAGATAAGGAAACTGAGGCAGACAGTGATTAAGTCACTTGCCCAGGGGTCACACATCTGGTAAGTGACTGAGGCAAGATTTAAACTCAGGTGTTCTTGATCCCAAGTCTAGCACTGTTGTTCCCTCTGTTTGGCCATGTCCAACTCTTTACGACTCCATGGACTTCTATCCATGGGGTTTTCTTGGCAAAGATACTAGACTGGTTTTCCATGTCCTTCTCTGGTGGCAAATAGAGGTTAAGTGACTTGCTCAAAGTCACACAGCAAGGCAGTTTCTGATGCTCCCAGTTTAGTACTAGCCTCTAAGTGTGTGCAATTATGTAGAATTACTTTTTGAGAGTTACCTCCAATATTTTTCCCTCTCTAATCATTTCATTCTGCAAAAGCCTCGAAGAAATAATACAACAAACGTACTTTACACAAAATTCTTTTTTTCCACTGTTTTAAAATAAGCATTATCGCTCATCCAAGAGTAATAATCTTATCTTCTGATGAAGGGATCACACTTTTGGCTTCTGGTTCTTGGGGATTCACGTTCCCAGGAGCCATCTCTTATAGGTTTTCAAAGTGACCTGGGTTGATATCCTGGTGACGTCTTGTCATGAGGTGCATAGAAATGGGATTTTAACATAGGAACCTTTAGGAGAACACATATTCAGGGCACCATGTTTTGAATTAGCTCAACCCTTCATTTTTAAATTAAGAATTTGGAGGTAATTTGAAAGCAAACCCCAAAATTATATGGTCCTAAGATTTACAAATGATGAAGTTGTAGCCAGAGATTTAGATCCCTTTCCCAAGCACCCCAGCAGAAATACCTATTAAGGCTTTCCCAACAACCAAAACTAGCAAATCAATAAGTGTTAGTGGGGCCAGGACGTCTGGCCTCTTGCAGTCACAAATCCCTTTTAGTATATTGTACCCACTTACTTCAAAACCCCACATACTCCCCAACCACCACCATCAAAAGCCCTTCAAATTGTAGGGAGATATGTAGTCTCAGAAGAGTTTTTTTAAAAAAAAATTCCTATTTTTTTATTTGTACTTAAATACCAAATAAAATGATCATTTCCATGTACAATATAGGACAAAAGATTGTACGTGAGACTGAATCTCTATTTGTATTTCTAAGCACATCACAAATGCAAAATGTAACTTTCTTCTTTCAATTTATTATTTATTTTTAACATTCACTTCTCTTTAGATTTTGAGTTCCAAATTCTCTCCCTCCCTCCAATCCTACCCTCGCCCGCAGAGAAGACAAGTGATATGACAACCATACATGCAAAATCAAAGCATGTAACTTTCGAAGTTGTCCTGCTAGCCTGTGATTCCTTCTGGCCTTTATTTTGTTCTCCACTCTATTCGGGAGAAGAGAAATACTATCCTTAACTCTCAGACAGAAAACAAAAAACTGAAATCCTTGTAACAAAGTTTCCTAGCCAAGCAAAGCAAATTCCCACATTGGTTACATACAATCTCTATCCAGAGTCCATCACCTATCAGGAAACTGGTAGTGAGAGAAATGATTATTAATAACCAATAATTTGGGGAGATCCAGAGTTCTCCCCTTCTAAAGTCCTGATTTTTAAAAGTTCAGTCTCTTGAAGGACTTTGCTGATAATGTGATTGGCCAACTTTCTTGTTTAAGACTCCACCCTGGTGGAGTAGCCATTGTGTTCCAAGCTCAGGCTTGGGTAGGACATACATTCTTTGAATAGATTGCCCAAGGCTGGGGGTGGTCTGGGTGTAGAGATAAATCTCTCATCATCGGTGACATGGCGTCACTCTCAAACCTTTATTGAACACCTACTCCTCTTCTGAAGGATATATAAACTATGAACCTGCCACCATGATTGTCTTTGGTCTAAGAGAGATGGACAAATGATCATCCTTTTATTAATAATGTACTGGCCTTATTAATGAAATTATTAAATTACCCAGAACCTATATCTCTTGAACCTTTTTAATCACCACAGTAGCATGATTTTTCTTTGGTCCTCTGGAATCTTGTTCGGTCAATGCATTGATCAGAATTCTTAAGACGTTCAAAATTGTGTTATCTTTGAAATGATGAAATCATCTAATCCACTTTCCCCTAACTTCACTCACTTCACTGTGCATCATCAATTCATGGAAGTCCTCAGGAAAGTCCAGAGAACTAAGAGGCTCTGATCAAAAATAAATACAGAGATGAGGATGCATGTGGATGTGAGGAAGAAAAAACAGACTAGGCCAAAAAGTGTTGTTTCTAAGGGTGATGAAGTAGAAGATATAGGGAGTTGGGGAATACTCGGGGTATGCAGAGGCTTACAAGGCTGTCTGGGGAAAGCAAGGAAAACCAATTTTGGCAGACTAGAGAGGTTTTCCAAATTTATCTTCATAGTTATACCAAAATATATCAAACGAGGGCAGAGAGGCAGTAGATTATGCAACATCTTAAACTCTTAAGTAAAGCCAGTGGAAAATACCAACTTTTTTTTTAAAGGAAAGACAGCAGATCTAAATAAAGATTACAAAAACTATTTATTGAAAAATAATTTTATTCCAGAATCATAAAAAAAACCAACCACAGCTCTCAAAACTAATTTCTCATCATCCCCACCCCTACATAAAATAAAACAATCAAATTATTTAGAACAGAGATACCTGACTGTGCTTTTTAAAAGCCCTAATAGCAGAATATGGCTAGTCACAGGATGGAAGATTTACACTTGTTAGCATTGAATGCATCATTATAGAAAGCTTTACCCAAGAAGTCTTCTCAACTAGTCTGCAGTGCTTTATTAATCCAAGTGCCAATACCATCCAGTGTGTATTACAGCCATGCTTGAATAAAAGAACTTCACTGTGGGGCTTCAGTGAGAACTGGAACCAGCTACAAAAAGCTCTACCTTTGGAGGAGAGTAGGAAGATAGGAAGAGGAAGGTTTGCAGAGGCAAACCCCACCAGGCCTCATGGAGAAAAAGATGGCAGCCTCTAAATGTTTACCACCCAAGTTCTGGTAAGCAGAATTCCTGAATTTGCTATGAAGTCGCAATACCTGTTTTATTGAAAGATGAAACTAAAAACCATAACCTACAAAGCCAGAATAGAGTCCCCCTGTCAAAAGGCTTTGGTATTTAAGGGTTTTTTGTTTTTTGTTGTTCTTTAAAAAAAAATACTTAAGCCCCATTTCTTTGAATGCCTTGAAAATCCGAAATGTCTAAGAGCCTACAATCTCACCCAAGGTCTTCTGTACTCATCCATGAGTGACATCAATCATGTATGGCTCATGGCTTGCTTAAAGGGTTGCTTTGGCTAATAGCAAGCTGGCACTACGCTTTTATTTGGGAGTGGAAAAATCCCTGCCTTGTACGGTTCCCCAGCTCTGTTCTGACTCAGTTACTAAAATATCTGTAGGAGGAACAGGAATTTAGGGAAATCTTTAATGACCTTGCACAGCTTTCTCTCATTTCCTATTGCAGAAAGTTTCCTAGGTTCACAACATCAATTGCTAAATCAAGGTAGACGACCCCCAGTTGTCCAAGGGAAAGTATTCTCAAGCGCAGGAATTTCACCAAACGGGCCCTGAGAGACTCAAAGTAGGCGAGACTATGATCCGCCTCCTGGAGGTGGTAGAATACACCTGTCATGGAGGCCCATTCTGAAACTACATGAAGTAGTCGAACAGTGGGGGTGCTATGGAGCAAAATGGAAATTGCCCAGTGCAGAGGTGAAATACAACACTATGATTCCTGGGATGGAAGGCCCTGCATTTGATTTTCCCTTGTGCCTTGCCAGATAAGGCAACTGAGTCTCAGAGAAGTAAAGTGATTTGCCCATGCTCACACAGAAAGTGAATATCTGAAGCAAGATGAGAAGCCCAGGCCTTCCAAGTTCCCAGTCCCAAACTGCATCCCAGCGCCATCTTGAGCAGATCTGTACACATGGAAAACAAATGCAGTGCCTAACACAAGCCCTTACATCTTCTATCACCATCAGGTAAAAGGCTTGACGGATGCACTCACTGATGGCCTTGTGGAAAAAAACAATGGCGGCTCACTGGACTCTCCCACTTGTTATTATTACATAGCATTTTCCTTCCATTTCATCGTTATCCAATGGGGCTAGCTTCCTAGTATCCCCTCAGGGCAAGCAGAAAAGATGTTTTCTCATTCCCATTTCAGAGATGGGGAAGACCAGATCAAGAATAGCCATGACTCAATCACAGTCACCAGAGCTGAGTGAGAAAGTTGAGAACCAGTCTGGATTTCTGCTTGTTTCCTGGCAAACTGCGAGTTCTACTTTCGTATCAATGACTTTCATATCAATGGCTAAGGAGCAGAAAAAGGAGAAGCTCACCTAATTACACTTTTCCTGTTCCCTGTGTAGCATTTCCCTATGCATTCTGGTTAAAATAAAAGCATCTCCTTGTGAACTCATTAGCCTCCCACCTCTCCAAAAAGAATTATGGCTCATCTATGGGCCGGGAAAAGATATGAACGATCACAGGATCCGTAGAGCTTGAACAGACCTTAGAAGTCATCCACTCTATCATCTTCCAGATGAAGAAACTGAGGCTCAGAGAGGTGATAGGCCCAAGGATACACAGGTTGTGGCCTTTCAGGTCCAGTTCTTCCATTCTAATAATCCACATCTCCTTCTTCAAAGGAAACTTGCCAGCAATGGTCTTGCTCACCAAGAGACTGTAACTTTTAGTTGACCCAATTTCCCACGAAGGAGAGAAAGGTCCCCCCCCAGATACAATAGTTTCTGGCAAATCCTGCCCTTTTTTTCAGCCAGTGGAAATTTGCCTGAAAATCCGGCCCACCTATACCTTCCTTGGATAGTGACAAAGGGATTATTGCCTGGATCATTTTGGGTGCTTGCCCTGGGATCCCAGAACACCCTTCTCTGTACACCAGCATGGGCTGCTGGCAAACCTTCAACCATCTTCCTCTGGCTATGGAAAGACATTTCACTTGTGCTCTCAGGGAAGTGGGGACATCTGGATGGAGCCAAGATTCCCAGGGAAAGTTGTACTTTGGAAACCAGATGCCACGTCTCGGGCTTCCTCCCAAGTGTTCGCCTGTCCCTACGGCTCTTTAACATCCTTGAGGGAGCCGACAGCAAATCAAGCTAATTAGGCAGAAAAGCACAGAAGGGGAGGTGGGATCTTTGCCGAGGGGCCCAAACCATTGCCAAAGCGAGAGATCTCAGAGCCCAGGTTGGGGTAAAAGCTAAACTCCAACCAAGCATCCTCCGAGGGTGCTCCAGCAACATACAGGAAAAGACAAACTTCCATCAAACAGGTCGGTCACATTCTTCCTGGAAAATGTCACTCTGGGTTTCCCTACTATCATCTGAACGGCAAAAAAGAAAAAGAAAGAGCTGACGCGTGATTTGGTACACTGTGTTCTTCCTCAGCCACCAGCCCTAAAGAACGAAACAGGTTGGGCTTCTTTTCTTTTTTTTTCTTTTTTTGGCAATTGTGGTTAAGTGACTTGCCCAGGGTCACACAGCTAGTAAGTGTCAAGTGTTTGGTCTGAGGCTGGATTTGAACTCAGGTCCTCCTGACTTCAGGGCCGGTGCTTTATACACTGCGCCACCTAGCTGTCCCTGGTTGGACTTATTTTCAACAAATAAAGACAGACTCAGATTCGGGGGTCTGGGTAGTGATCTGGGGTAGTGGGTGTGCGTCTATATAATAATGGACAATTCGTTTCAAAAATCTAGGTCCTACTGAAAGAGGAGTTGAGAAGTAGCTTGGCATAGTGGTTAAAGCATTCGATTTGGAGTCAGGAAGATCTGGGTTCTAATGCCACCTCTGGCACTTGCATGTGACTATGAACAAGTCACTTTACCTAGATAAGCCTCAGTTTCCTCATCATTCCTCATTTTGAGTGGGCTCTAGATCTCAGATGCTAGGGTTACTTCACACCCCCGGGGCCCCAGTTTCCTCATCTGTAAGACGAAGAGGTTGGACCAGATCACCTCTAAGGTCCCTTCCAGCTCTGGATCTAGGATCCTATGTTCCAAGGATCCTCCAAGACCCAGCTCAAATCCCACTTCTTCAGTCAAACCTTCTCTGGCCACAACAGTCCATGGTGGCATCTTCCAACGGTTGAATTCCTCCAGCAGCCAGCATTTCCACTATTCAGCTGACCTTCTATCACTTTCCTACCCTTCTATAGTTGTCTTACACTACTACTATAATCTTGTATTGTTTAACTTTTCACTATCTTTTCTCTCCAGTTCTTGTCATCTCCTAGAGAGAAGGAACAGGAGCATTGTATTTTTTTGTGTGTGTCTGTCCAACGCCATGTTGACAAGGATTCCATGAATGTTTGTTGATTGAAACAGCAAATATTTGGTGAACTGATTCACCAAGGGGATTATAAGATTTAGAACTGAAAGGGACCTTAGAGATCATCTAGTCCAACACCCTAATTTTACTAATAAAGGAAGAAACTGAGGGCTACAAAGCCTCAAGTGACTCACCCAAGGTCACACAGACATTAAAGCAACAGAGTGGGAATATGAACCCAGGTCCTCTGAATCCTAATAATAATGATGATGATGGTGAGAGTGAAAACGATAATAATGATGGCTAACATTTCCATAGTACTCCAAAGTTTGCAAAATGTTTTCTATGTTATCTCATTTCATCTTCACAATGACCTTGTGAAGCAAATGCTATTATTACCATCTCCATTTCACAGATGAGGTGACTGAAGCTGAGAAAGATTAGGTGACTTGCTCAGGGTCACAGGGCTAGAGTCTGAGGCAGGAATTAAACTTGGGTTGTTCTGAGTGGAAGGCAGCTAGGTGGTACAATGGATAGAGCCCCAGGCCTGGAGTCAGGAAGACCTGAATTCAAATCCAACCTCAGACATTTGCTATCTGTATGACCCTGGCAAATCACTTTACTTCTGCATGCCTCAGTTTCCCCAACTGTAAAATAAGGATAATAATAGCACCTACCTCCCAGGGTTGTTGTGAGAATCAAAGACCATATATGTAAAGTGCTTAGCACAGTGCCTGGCACGTAGTAGGTATTTCATGAATATTTCCTTTCTTTAATCCCCTTCCTTCCTTTTTCCCCTCCCTCCTTCACTCTCTCTCCTTTCCTTCTTCCTCCCTCTCTTCCTCTCTTTTTTCCTTCCGCCCTTCCTCAAAGACCAGTTTTCTTTCCACTATAGGCCATGGCTTTCCCCTGATATGAGTTTTAATTTCTGTTCCCTGCCTCTCAAACACCCAGGTTTTAGGGAAGGTTTGAGCTAAATGCCTTTCTTTCATCTCCTACGAAATCTAAAGTCACTCTCCAGCTCAGTTATTTTAATGGGAAGTGAGAGCAGGAAGTGAGCTAATTTCCGCTACCAGGTGGTAAAGGGGCTCACCTTGGAGGGCCTGGAGACCATTCCCCATGCGCTCCACATCCCCATTCACCAGGGCAGTCACCCGGTGTATGTGGCCATGTCTGGTTATCTCTTTCGGCAAGTCTTCCTCTTCTCTTTCCTCTGTTTCTTCTTCTGCCTCTTCCTCCTCCTCATCCTGTGAATCGACCAGGACCATGACATCACTTGTGTCTTGACCCCTAAAGCTCAAAGGGAAAACTAAGTCAAAAGGTTGCCCAGGGTCACACTGCTAGTAAGTGTCTGAAGATGACTTGGAACTCAGGTCTCCCAGTCTCAAGGCCCACTGCTCTATCCACTGTAAACAATAATAATAATGAAAACAACTAACATTTACACAGTGCTTCCTAGGTGGCAGGCCCTGTGCTGTCCCCTGCCAGAGCTCTGAGGACAAGCAATCTTGGGCTTCCCAGAACCACCTGGGAGATGAAGAGAGTCCTTAATCCTTTTTTTTTTTTAGGCAATTGGGGTTAAGTGACTTGCCCAGGGTCACACAGCTAGTAAGTGTCAAGTGTTTGGTTTGAGGCTGGATTTGAACTCAGGTCCTCCTGACTTCAGGGCTGGTGCTCTATCCACTGTGCCACCTAGCTGCCCCTATCATTATTATTATTATTATTATTATTATTATTATTATTATTATTATTATTACAGTGCATAGAGCACTGGGCACAGAGTCAGGAAGACCTGAGTTCAAATCTATCTTCAGATACTTACTAGCTATGTGACTCTGGGCAAGTCATTTCACCCTCTGTGTCAGTTTCCTCATCTGCAAAATGAGAATCATAATAGCACCTACCTCCCCAAATTGATATAAGGATCAAATGAGGTAATAATTATAAAGTGCTTAGCACGGTGCCTCGCACATAGTAGGTGCTACCTAAACATAGCTAATATCACTATTATTTTTATCTTAAGTCATCCAAAGCTCCGGTATCTGGCTCACTGGAGTTCAGAACCCAAGGGAGTCAGTCATTTACCAGCATTTAAGAGGAATTATGGGCTAAAAATCAATCCAGATTGTTGGAGGAGGAAGAGAAGGAGGAGGACAGAGTACCAGTATTGTTTGTCTTGGGCCAAAAGCTATTCAAGATCCAAGTATCTAGAATTACTAACAGAGAAGGGGGAGGAAGAAGAGGAGGAGGAGGAAGGGAAGGCTGTGCAGAGCGCTCTCCCAAGGAAGTAGTTGGGGGTGGGGAAGGGAAGAAGGGGGAGCACAATGGTCCCAGATCCCCACCATTCCAAAGAAAGGACCTGGGGGGAAGCCCCATCACGCGAACAATCCTTTGGCAGATGTAACTCTTGTCGAAACCAAAGCTGAGCAAATATAAGATTATCTCAGAAAATTAGATGCTGCTCCTGCTCTTGGGGCGGGGCCTTACCTGCCTCTCCAGGATGAGACAGTAGGTAAGGTTTCTTACTAGACGCAGCAACATCTGATGATGAATACTTTTATTCATTCCAATCACTTTTATGGGCCTAGCCACCTGCCCAGATCTGAGCTCACCTTCAGGTATTGTCTCCCCCGAATAGAGTGGCAGCTCTTAGAGGGCAGGGTCAGACTGGCTGATTTTCTATCAGCATCCCTTGGACTTAGCATAGTTACACCCAGCAAATATTTAACAAATGCTTTTCCCTTCCATTCCCTGAAGTTGTTGCTGGTTGGGAACCAGATCAACCATGTATTTGGTCTTTATAAATTCCACAATTTCAGAGGATTCCATCAGCCTCTTTTATTTCTTAAAAATGACTAGAGAGAGATTCCTGCTCTGATGCAGGTTTCTGGGTTGAACTGTGTACACTCCAGAGGTGTTGATATCAAATGAATACTGGTGCGCCTTGCTTTAAGCAAATGTAAGATATGAAAATTCAATTTACCTAAATAAATGCATAATATAAATATATAATATATCCATATATAATATCAGTGCATAATATCTTAATATATAACATTATATATAACATTTTACACATATGTATATCTCCAGGATAAAGAAGACTGGTATTGATCCAAAGTAAAAAAAAAAATCAACTGCTTTTTTACTTTGTCCTTCTCCAACAGTCTGGGTTGCTATTAGCCCATTATCTTTGCTTTACAATAAAGGGATTCATTCCCCTTTGTAGCAAGCTCCCTCAGTGCATTCAGGATGATTTGGTTTTCATACACTGTTTCAAGTTCACATTGCCTGCCCAAAACAAGGCATTTGTAAAAACCAATCTCCCCAGGATCTGTGACTCACTCAAAATTAAAAGACGGCAAAGGACGATGAAGGAGGCAGAATTAGCCCAAGTCGATGGGCATGGCCTTTTGGTTTGTTCCAGTTCAATTAAAGAAACTTCTATCAATCCTGTACAATGGTCAGGACAGTGTGTGTTGGGTACTAAAGACACAAAGATAAAATGAAACGATCCCTGGGCCTCAACACGCTTCTGTCCTAGGGGGACATGGCACACCCAAAGAAGGGCTTGCAAAGTAGATCTAAATGAACCCAAAGGAAGTTTAAGAGGGAGGAAGTAGCATGACCAACTGAGGAAGAGGGGAGGGAACTGGGGAAGATCTTGGGGGGGGGGCCCAGAGCCAGGCCCACAAAGACTCACCTGAGGCTGTTTCCTACTGAAGGGAGAGAGAGAGAGAGAGAGAGAGAGAGAGAGAGAGAGAGAGAGAGAGAGAGAGAGAGAGAGATTAGTATTTACTGTCATTTATTTGAGGTTAGAACAAGTTCTTAATAAATAGGACATTTTCATAAGTATGCACATGGGAAAATGCTCCAATCCAGCTCTGAACTTGAGTGCCCATTTGGAAAGTAGGGGAGGCAATGTGGAGGCTAGGCAGAATCTCACATTTTGGCCCCAGTGGAGAAACCTGTAAGGGCAGCATTTAGGCTAGGAAGAGGGAAGGGAATTTCTTCTCTAGGCTTCCTTTGGGGATACTCTGAAGAATACCAAGTATCTCTTACCTTTCAGGCAAATATTTGGACTGTAATACAATATAAAACCTGAGACTGTCCCCATTCCCAACAGAAGCAAGATCACAACTGCTCCCATGATGCCCCCGATGTTCAAAGGCTCTGTAGAGAAAAGACATACACAAAGCATGGTTTTTAGGTAGCGAGATACTGCAGGTGTTGAATGAGGAGTCAGGAAGACCTGAGTTCAAATCCTACCTCAGACACTTAGTAGCTGTGAAACCCTGGGTAAGTCACTTAATCTTTGTGAGTCTTAGTTTTACAGCTCATCTGTGCAATGGGGATCACAATAGCAGATATTTGTTATGAGGATCAAAGGAGATAATATTTGTAAAGTGCTAAATAAATGCTGGCCATTATTTCTAGCACTCATGTATGTGACTGAAGAGTCATTTTGCCACCTCCTGGCCCGACCACCTTCTATTTCTTACTGAGTCACAGACTGACATCTTTGGGCAAGGTATCTTGGTTTCCTCTTCCAAAAAATGGAAATAATCCAATGTGTTCAAACTGACTCTCATTGTAGTACTTCAAGGATCTGTCATCCCTGTTGGATAATGGAATGTGGGAAATTCCTTCTACCAAAACAGATCGTGACTCCTACTGAATGTAAGAGCTGGTCCTCGAAGGTTGCTGTGAACAAAAATTCATCATCTAGGCATTGGCCCGGTGAGGAGCCAGGTCCTTGTCTAGGCAGGTCCTCAGACAATAGACCGTTAACATCCTGTCTGCCTCATAGGGAAATGATTGGAATGGGGAATGGGACGGGAAGAAGGGGCCAAGCACTGTGCTAAGGGTTGAAGCTACAGAAAGGTAAGCCAAACAGTCCCCTGTGGAACATATGTCAGTCAGTCAATAAGTATTTATTAAATGCCTACTGTATGCCAGGGGCTGTTCTAAGTGCTAGGGAGATGTACAATTCATCCCCCACCAAAACCTCATCAGAACAGCAATCTCTGGTCATTTTTAAGAAATGCAAGATGCCAATGAATTATCTAGAACTGTGGAATTTATAAAGACCAAGTGCATGGTTCATATGATTCCCAACCAGCAACAGCTTAAGTAGAGGAGACAGCACGTGAACTAGGCACATACTGAAGAGAGAAGAGTGGAAGGCAACCTGAGAGAGGAAAACGCTAGCATCTGGGGAGACCTGGCTCACCTCTCTCCCCTAACGACCATAATGTGGAACTGAGGGTGTGGGATGCCGCATATCCTCCATTGGTGGGTGCATTCCTTACTGAACTGCTCCCCCATCCCCACCCCTTTTCTTTTTTAATTTTTGTTATAAGGTATAGCTCAATGGGTAGGGGAGGGTGCTGGATAATAAGATAGGGTTGAAAATGAATGTGACATAAAACAAAAGGCATCAATAAAAATGAGATTAAAAAAACCATGTGAAATCACTATCCACAAGTATGAGCTTAGAAAAGAAGCTCTCAAAAAAAAAAAAGAATATAAGCTCTCTGTGGGCAGGCATCGTGTTTTGGTCTACATCATCAACACCTAACTCAATGCCTGGCACAGAGTAGACATTTAATAAATGATGATTGGTTGGTTGTCTTTGCATCCCCGGCACACAGTAGGCATTTAAAAAAATGACGGGTGATTGGCTGTCTTTGTAAACCCAGCACCCAGTAGACTTCAATAACTACCTGTGAATTGATTGTCATCATATCTCTAGCACCTAGCACAGAACAGGCAATGAATAGATGCTTATTGATTGTCTTTGTACCTCTAGCACCTAGCTCCCTGCCTGGCACATAGTAGGCACTTTATAAATGTTTATTGATTATCTTTCTAGTCACAGCACTTAGCTCAGTGCCTGGCATTTACTATAGTGCTCAAGGAATTCTTTTTAAATAAATACATTACATTGGTTTGAACAACAGCTCTGGTATCCCTGAGAATCTGTCCTTACCTCCCCAGGCTTCCTGAATGAAGCAACTGGCTTCAGCTGTTTGGCAATGATGAGGCAGGTGGTATGCTGGAAAGAACACTGGCTAGGGAGTCAGAGGAGCTGGGTTTGAATCCTGATTCTGTCACTAACTACAGGTTAAAGAAATCGCCTTTCTGGGCTTTGGTTTCCTTTTCTGTAATAATTTTTTTTGAGGGGGTGATTAGTCTAGATGATCTTTGAGGTCTCTTCCATCTTTAAAGCTATGATGACTCTGGTCTATCTACTGTGGAGAAAGCATCAGCAAAGCATCACCCTCTTGTCCATTCTAAGGCCGGACAACCTTCTCCCCTCCCCCTACCATACAGCTCTTGGGAGCCAGTGGGGTCAGACTTACTTTTCACAGTCAGCCAGATGTCCACCTCCCTCACCCGCACTGGGTTCTCTGCCCTGCAGACGTAGTAGCCTTCATCCACCTCCTGGGAACAGTTGAGGATGGTGAGGGTGGAGACTGAGTCCTTGTGTGTTATCAGGTAACGTGTGCCGGGTAGGATCTCCACTTCTGGCTGGCTGAGATTCCGTAGCCAGGAGATCTTGGCCTTCGGGTTGGCTCCAGATACCTCGCAGGTGAAGGTCACGTTGCCTCCCAAGAAGCAGGTCTTCATTGGCTCGGACTGAAGGGTGGGCCCATCTGGTGGTCATAAAGAAGGAGACAAAGAAAGAGAGATGCTTATACACCTAAGCTTGAGCCTAGCTTGAAATTCCAGGGGGAATTCCAGCAAAACCTCTTCCTTATGGGATTGCAGAGCTGGGTGATACCCAAGGGGCCGTCTGGTGCAACCCCATTCATTTTACAGAGAAGCAAACTGAGGCCCAGGGAGGTTAGGTCAATTGCCCAAAGTTATACAGAAAGTGCCAAAGCTTTGAACCCAGGTTCAGACTCCAATCCAAAACACTTTTTCATTGTACCTCACTGCTGCTAGGAATCACTTCACTAGAATTTGGGGAGTAAGATGACCCCCAAGCCACTAGATTAAAAATTCACTCTTCAGTCTGGCTTTGAACTCTTTCCAAAATTTGGCTTTAATCTACCAAACTTAGTACATTTTTTTTTTAGGTAATTGGGGTTAAATGACTTGCTCAGGGTCACACAGCTAGTAAGTGTCTGAGGCTAGTTTTGAACTCAAGTATTCCTGACTCCAAAGCCAGTGCTCTATCTTCTGTGCCACCTAACTACCCCTAAACTTGGTAGTTTTAAAGAGGTCAGTTTAGACTTTCTAATAATTAGAGCTGTCCCAAAGTGGAAGAGCCTGCCTCTGGAGAGGGTGGGTCCTTCTCCTTGGATGTCATCAAGCAGAAGCTGGACGATCACTTGTCAAGGACAGGTTAGACTTGAATGCACTGAGGACCCTTTTAATTCTCAAATTCTCTGATTCTTCCAATGATATGGAAAGAACATTGTATTTGCAGTGGCAGAATCTGGGTTCAAACTCCGGGCAGTGACTACCAGCTAATTGTATTTGGGGAAAATCACCTAACTTGAATTTCCTCACACATACATTAAATGATCTTTAAGATCTCTTTCATGGGCAGCTAGATGGTGCAGTAGATAGAGCACCAGTCCTGTATTCAGGGAGACCTGAGTTCAAATCTGGCCTCAGACACTTACTAGCTGTGTGACCCTGGGCAAGTCACTTCACCCTGTTTGCCTCAGTTTCCTCATCTGTGAAATGAGCCAGAGAAGGAAAAGGCAAACCATTCCAGTATCTCTGTCAAGAAAACACCAAAAGAGGTCACAAAGGATTGCACACAACTGAAATGACTCAAAAACCAACAAAAAGCCCCTTCCAGCCCTAAATCTATGATTCTATGACCTTCTTAAGCATGAGTATTCCTTCAGGCTAGGCCCTTTTCTCTTTCTACTCTTTCTTCCTTGATGATCTTATTTCCACCCATATATTTAATGATCACCTTTATGCTGATGACCTCATATTGTTGTATCCAAATCTGATCTCTCTCCTGAAACACAAGCTGGGACTATCAGCTGCCTGCTAGACACCTCCACCCCAATGTCCTAGCAGCATCTCAAACTTAAGAACTCATCATCGTTTACCCCCAAACCAGCCTGTCTTCCAACTGCCCTAGCTGTATCAAGGGCACCAGAATCCTTGCAGGCATCCAGGTTCATAAACTCAGACTTGGTTGACTTTTTCCTGTCTACACATTAATTAGTTGTCAAGCTTGGCTTTTAAGATTCTCCAGTAGAACCATTCCAGTTGTACATAGAATTCTCCTTCATGCACTCTTCATTCCTGACAAATTAGCCTACTCGTTGTTCTCCAAACTCAGCAACCTATTTCCCACCTCCAAGTATTTGCATGCGCTGTTCTCCCTGCTTCGAATGCAAACCCTCCTTGTTTCAGCCTCTGGCAATCCTTATCTTTATTCTAAGCACAGAACAGGTCTCACTACCCTTCCTTGAAGCCCTCCTTGATCTCTTTCCTTCCCCCAGTACTGGCTCTCTTTCTCTCTCTCTCTCTCTCTCTCTCTCTCTCTCTCTCTCTCTCTCTCAAATAATTTACACTTATTTATCTGAGTATAGAATCCCTAATTCACTCAAGGATCAGCTCAAATGTACCTACCATACAATAACAATAGTAGTTGTTCAGTTGTGTCCAGCTCTTCATGAGCCCATTTAGGGTTTTCTAGAAAAAGATATTGGAGTAGTTTACCATTTCCTTTTTACCATTCTACATTTTATCATTTACCATTTTACAGATGAGGAAACTAAGGCAAACAGGGTGAAGTGAGTTGCCCAGGGTCACACAGCTAGGAAATGTCTGAGGCTGGATTTGAACCTAGGAAGAAAAGTCTTCCTGACTCCAAGCCCTGCACTCTATGCACTATGGCGCCACCTAGCTGCCCAGTAATAGTAATAATAACAATCAGTATGTAGCACTTGGAAGGTTTGCAAAACCTTTATAAATATTATTTCATATGATCCTCACAATACACTTGGGAGGTATTATTACCCCCATTTTAAAGATAAAAAAAGCTGAGGCAGACAGAGGTTCAGTGCCTTGCCCAAGATTACAAAGCTAATAAGCATCTCTCTACTATAACCCAGAATAGCCTAATCCCATCCATCCCCTAAGAAGATACTTGTATCTTAGAAGATACATTTTGCATATACTTATCTATATTCATGTTGCTTCTCTTCAATAGAATTAAGTAAACCCCTTGAGGGTAGTAGCTGTTTCATTTTTGTTCATGCTTAACACATAGTAGGTGCTTAATAAAGGTTTGTTGAATGAATAAATGTTGCATTGTCCCAGTAGGATGTAAGCTCTTTGAGGGTAGGGACCATTTTGTTTTTATTTTCATATTCCTCAATGTCCAGCACATTATGTGCATAGTAGGTCCTTAAGAAAAATTAAAAAAAATAATAAATTGGCTTCCTCCCTCTGGAATAATATTAGTACCTACTTCACAGGGTGGTTGTAAGGATCAAATGAGATGATCTGCATAAGGTGTTTTGCAAACCTTAACTTGCTATATAAATGTTAGAGGTAGGGACTAGACCTGTAATTTCACTGATATAGGGAAATCCCACATTAGAAAGTTCCCTTTACCAATGCAGGTCAGCACCTTCTTTGCCCCTCAGAGGGCTGTCTAAAGCAGAAATGTCAAACTCCATCACACTGAACCCAAACTAGATTAAAGTGTAACTGGGAAATGTTTAACAAAATAAATAAAAATAAAACATAAAACATAGTAAATATTAGTTTGTGGTTTTCTGAATCACTATGCTGCCAGAAGGGATATATGCTTCTATTTGACTTTGCCACCACTGCTCTAGAGCCCTAAGAAGTTTAGGGACTTGCCAAGAGTCACACAGTCAATATATGTCAGAAGTGGGATTTGAACCCAGGTCTTTCTGGTTCTGATAATTTTGATACACCTCACCAGGGCTCCCTCATAGAGATTTTAGCCATTATTGTTATTATTTACCTTGACAGAAGCGGGGAACAGTCAGTGGAAGGAACGGGAGCCCTCGGTTAAGGCACAGGGAACAAGGGAGGTGGCTTCATCTACGGGGGAATTTTGCCAAGAGTCAGCCTTGTGCTTCTTCTGGGTATGGGGAGGGCAGTGATGAGGGAGGGTATAAACCTATCTCTTTAATCCATGTCCACAACATGGAATCCCCCAAACCTGGATTTGCTCATGAATCTCTTGCCTTTACAAGCTTTCTCAGGGAACCTCTAGTTTCCCTGTTCAATGCACATTAAATGCTTGTTATGCACAAAGCACGCCACTAAGTTATTGTTGTTCCTCCTTTGTTTCAAAAAGGATCAATGACATCACAGGGTTATATCTCAATTTAAGTGAGGCAGAGTTGCACAAAGTTGTCAGCCTCTCTCTCTCTTCCACAGTCATTGACATCCAGTGGCTGGAATAAAAGTCAAGATGACTGGTGAGGTACTGGGGATACAAAGACAAAATTGAAGAGTCCCCTGTCCTTATGGGGAGGAGGTGGAGTAGACAACATGCACAGATTAGTATAAGATAAACTAGGACAAAGGAAAGATTCATATAAGGGGCACTAAATTTGGAGTCAGGAAGACCTGGGTTCAAATACCACCTCAAGCCTTTAATAGCTATGTGACCCTGGGTACTTAACCTTTCTGGATCTCAGTTTCCCTATTTGTAAAGTGATAAAGCTAGACTTAATGGCCTCCCTTCCAGCTCTAAATCTACGATACTGACTCAAAGAATATTTGAGAAGGGAGAAAAGGCTTTGGCTGGAGGGATCAGCGAAGTTTTTATGAAATAAGTGGCAACTGAATGAGACCTAAAAAAAAGGTGAGGACTCAGGAAATTGACTACTAAGCATATATCCCAAGGAAGTCATAGACAGAAAGAAATATACAAAAATATCCAGAACAGCACTTTATGATAGTAAGAAACAGGAAACAAAATGGGGGCCCATCAATTGTGGGCAGCTAAACAAACTGTAGAGTATGAATGTAACAATGTTTTTAAGAAACTACAACTATGAGGAATTCAGAGAAGCATGAGAAGACTTTTATAAACTGATGCAGGGTAAAGAAAGCAGACTAAGGAAAATGATGTATACAATGATGATAATAATATAAATAAAACAACACCATAAGGGAACTATCACTTGCAATGACCATAGCAATAGCATTAGAGTGTTTAGTCAACTCAGTCATGTCCGACTCTTTGTGACCCCATTTGGGGTTTTCTTGGCAAAGATACTGGAGTGATTTGCCATTTCCTTCTCCAGCTCATTTTACAGATAAGGAAATTGAGACAATAGGAGTTAAGTGACTTGCCCAGGGTCACACAGCTGTCTGAGGTCAGATTTGAGCTCAGGAAGATGAGTCTTTCTGACTCCAGGTCTGGTGCTCTATGTACTATGGTGCCATGTAACAACCCTAATACTAGAGTATCCCCTAGTATTACTTGGATTATTTTCAATAACCAACTTTAGTACCAGAGAACAGAGAGGGAAATACACTTCTGAGGCATCTAAGTGGCCCAGTGGATAGAGCCTGGACCTGGCATCAGGAAGACCTGCATTCAAATCCAGCCTTAGATACCTGCTAGCTGTGTGGCTCCAGGTAAGCTGCCAAACCTCTGTCTGCCTCAGTTCCCTCAACTGCAGAATGACAATAATAACAATACCTACCTCATAGGGTTGCTGTGAGGATGAAATGGGATAATATTTATACAATGCTTGGTGTACAGTAGGCACTATAAAAATGCTTATTCCCTTCTGTCCTTCCAGTAAAGAGGTGTAACACGGTGGGCTATAGGGACGTAATATCTGAATGGCCTCTGCTTTCAGAATCAGTCACTTTCTGTTAATTTTACTTAACTGTTTTTCTTTGCTACAAAGGAGGGCTCAGGAAATGACAGTGACATAAAAAGAAAGACATCAATAAAACTTTTTTTAAAAAAAGAAAGGGATTTTGAAAGTCAGAAATGAAGATTGTGTGTATTATATGGGTGCATGGAAAAAGAAGGACCTTCCTCCTTTAGTGCTTGGCATTTTCCCCACATGTGGGCGTTTTCCTGGCTGTACCTTTAGGAAACAGGCTGACGAATGGTCAGAATGGAAGTTTTTAGAGCTCACTAGACACACAGGTAGAACCAACACAGCTGATTAAATAAACAGAAGGAAAGACAGGGGAAGAGATGGGGGAAGCCCCCAAACACTCCTTATTTCCCAGATAGCTTATGAAGGAATAGCAACCCCTCTTCCACAGGATACTCACTTATCTGGACTGCACAGTTGGCTCCCGTCATTCCAGACCCCACAATATGATTTCCAATACACTTGAACTTCTTGCCGTCAGACAACTGGGACCGATTGAGTGTCTCTACACCCAAACTTGAATTGCCCAAGATCAAGCTCCCTGGCTCTTCTGTCCACAGGAAGACAGGATCTGGATACCCTCCAGACCATCGGCAGATGAGCTGCAGCATGGACCCCATGGCGGCCGTCTCCACCCAGCACTGTGGGGCTGACCAAGGAGGATCTGTGAAGCACAAGGACACCTCTAGCTGGCTCCCTTGGGCACCAGGCCATCTGTGAACACGACAGGGCTGAGACAGCAAAAAGATCAGCCGAAGCCAGTTACCTTGATGTAGCTGAAACCTTGGGCAACTCAAAAAAAAAAAAACAACTCCATCTTTTTTTTCTCATAAGTAAAGCAAATGGGCAGAAATGTAACTAAGTGCAGATTTTTATGCCTGGAACAAGTGACTCAAAGTATATACTCAGTAGTGGGGGCAGACAGAGCAGGGTGGGATAAGAGAGGAGCTCATCCTAGCCCACCCTCTGTTTTCTATTTTAACTCATCATTCTTGTAACATGCTAATTTGTGTTATTCCCACGCTGCTGAGAGCCTAGAGATACTTTCAGCACTCTCAAAATTCAGCACCCTGGGCAAGTGCCCAGATCACCCTGCCCTAGTTAGCTCTGCAAGTTGGCAAGCTATATTTTTTCCATTTATCACAAAACTTTCCTCTCTCCTCTAGCAAAAGGACAAGTATTGATTCCTAAGAAGTATGGTCAATGTTTTCCTTTATAGATGCAGATTTTCCCTTCTGTGGATGGTAAGTATAAATTTTTAATCCAAGGTCTATTTCCCCTTGATGTTCATTATAGTCCTTTGTTTTAACCCCACACAACTGATGTATGCCTAGGAGATTTTAGTACTGATTTTAGTACTCTTTAATTTTTTTTGTCCAGGCCTCTGATTTCATCTAGTGTGGGAAGCTCCTGGTATGAAAACTGTCTCCATAATGCAGACTGCAAAGTTTCTGTAGCTTACCGAGTTAAAATTGTCTGGGGCACAGAGAGGTTAAGTAGATTTTCCAGAGTCACACAGCCTGTGTCAGAGGCAGGACTTGAACCCAGGTCTTCCTGACTCTGCTATACCATGCTGTATTTTTTCTTTTGGGTTGAACCTGTAATTTCATTGGTATAAGGAATTCCCAATGCAGTTATATCAACTGCTTTGCAAATTACAGTCTGGTACTGTGAGGTTAACATAGATAACGTCAATTTGTGGTGTTCTAAGTTCCTTTCTATTTGTGTTTGATACCACTACATTCTTTTACCATGCTGCCTCCTCTCATGCTATGTGTAAAGGATAGAAATATGATGGAATAGTATTGTACCAGGAGACATAGTAAATAGGAGGAATTTGGAGAAACATGAGATTTGTATGAACTGATGGAGAGTAAAGAAAGCAGACAAGGTGAACAATATACACAGTGCCAATAATATAAATGATAAAAAGTCCATAAGACTCTGATGAACTGTAATAAAGAATCTCCATTCTGGAGAAGTGGTCAAATGAACCACACATTTCTCCTTTCAGCAGAGAGGTGGAGGACCTTGGATACGGAATGGGGTATTACCTGCCAGACTTGGCCTTGGTTTTGCTTAAATGTTATTCTTTACCACAAAAGGCTAGGAGGGAGATTAAGGGCAAATAATGGGTGTAAAAACAAAAGAAAATACCATTTTTTAAGGGAAAGCAATGAATGACAACGTGGCTCTGAAGCACTGAACTTGGAGTCATGAAGATGTCAGTTCAAATCCTGTCTCAGACACTTACTGGCTGTATGACCCTGGGCAAGTCATGTAACCTCTCTTTGCCTCAGTTTCTTTATCTGTAAATTGAGGCAGATGGGCTCAATGGCATCTAAGCTCCTCCCCAGTTCCAAATCTGTGACTATACGTGTAAGCCTATGCAAGACTGCTTGGGTGCATGACGATACAGAGGCGTCGAGGACCACAGGGGATGGATGGATGAGCTTGTGGGCATTCCAGATTAAGTGTGGTCCCAGCAACAGGCAGGAGCAAAGACTTCTTACGTACAATACACCAGGAGCTCAGTGTCACTTTCTGAACTCTCTTGCTGAGCATGTTTGTGGCCAAACACGTGTAATTCCCCTGAAGTGTGGGCGACATGTTGTGGAGCACAAAGTAGCTGAAGGTCTCATTGCTGACCCCAAAAGGCTCGCTGCCGGACCCCGACTGCTGGAAGGACCACTCCACCACGGGAGGTGGGTAGGAGCTGCTGCTGCAGTTGAAGGTCACCTGGGAGCCCCTGGCGACAAAGAGGGAGCCATTTGGGTGGATTCCAGTTGGAGAGATGTTGATGTCCATCTGGGTGGGGCCACCTGAAATGAAGGTGACAAGGAGGGAGAAAAAAATGTTCAAAAGGCGGCTCCTCCATAGCTCTAACAAACAAATCCCCTCCCCTGCCAAAAGTTGATACAGTTGTCTCCTAATCCCAAAGTCCCCTTATTCTAAAATCTATGGAGAGAGTCTAGAAGTGGGATTTCTCTAGTTTAGAAGATTCCCTGGTAAGGAAACACCCTCCACCAATTCAGGTTGACCCCTTTTCTGCAGTTTATAGTCTTCCAGAGTTTCTTAAGGCACAGAGACTTACTCAGGGTGACACAGCCAGAATGTAAAAAGCAAGACTTGAACACAGGTCTTCTGTCTCTGAGGTTGGCTCTCTATCCACTATACTATACTGCCAATTAGACTGTAAGCTCCTGTTCTTGAGAACAGGGACTGTCTTTTGTTTTTCTTTGTATCCCCAGCACTTACCAGAGTGCATGTTTAAAAAGTTCTAGAGAAATAATTTCTGGGTAGTTATTTTGATAATAATGCTAGCATTTTAATGAAAGGTCAGTGGCACTCTTTTTTAAAAAAATCTTTTTAGGCAGTTGGGGTTAAGTGACATGCCCAGGGTCACACAGCTAGTAAGTGTCAAGTGTTTGGCCTGAGGCTGGATTTGAACTCAGGTCCTTCTGACTTCAGGGCGGGTGCTCTTTCCAGTGCGCCACCTAGCTGCCCTGGTCAGTGGCACTCTTGAATGCCACAGCTCCTTCATGGTGGTAGGCTCACAGGTTACATGCTTTTGAAAGGTGTTCCTGAGGGTGGCAATCAACTCTGATCGGTCAACAAGTAAGGAGAGAACGAATATTATAATGAGGGTCTCATTCTAATGAGGGCCTTGGGGGTGTTACTTGGATCACCCAAGTCTTAGTCAAAAAGACTTGACAATTTCCATATCACCAGTCCAACAAAAAGGAGAATCCACATTTTCTCAGACCTGTCTGAATAAATACAATAAGCAGGAATCCATCCATTAACCTAAACTTAGCATTTCTTTTACTTCAGTCTGGGTAAGTCTTTGGGAGAGATTTTCCACATTGGTTGAATTCTAGATGAGGAAGCAGAAAAGGTGAAAAAATTCTACGTTCCCATGTGATATATAATAGCATGAAATTTGGCAGAGGGAATAGAGCACTGGACTTGGGAGTCAGAAAGACTTGAGTTTGAATCCTTCTTCAGAAACTTATTAGTTCTGTGAAGCTGAACAAACAACTTCACCTCTCTCAGTCTCAGTTTTCTCATCTATACAATAGGCATTATAGTAGTACTTACCTCCCAGGGCTGTTGTGAAGATTAAGTGAAATCATAAATGTAAGGACTTTGGCAAACCTTAAAATACTTTATAAATGTTAGCCTCCATATGATTAATTAGTATTCTGATTCCCTAGCTGGAGTTTAGAATCTCCCAACTCTAAATTCTTGATAGCATTCAACATAAATGTTATGACTTCCATACCTTGTGTTAGAGCCATTTGGGTACAAGCCTTAAATCATCTGCTGAATTGTAAGCTCCTGGAAGGCAGAAGCCCTGTCTCATTCATCTTCATATCACTTTAAACCCTATGCGCTTTGCAAGCGCTCTGTAAATTCTTCCAATCCATCTTCTAACAAAATCATCTTCCTAACACAGGGCTCTTAGAATATCACTGTGACCCTCTTCCACTCAAGAAATTTCAATGGTTCCCTATTGCCTCTAGGATAAAATTCAACCTCTACAATCCCACATTCAAAACTCTCCACAATCAAGTTCTCTCCTCCCATTCTAGTCACATTTCCCATTAGTCCCCTTCATATACCCTACAATCCAGTCAGACTAGCCCATTAGCCATTACCTAGACTTGACATGGTATAGTCTAGACATGGTGCCAACTAGTGCAGTCCCTAGGTGTGGCATCCAACATGGCACCCAATGTGCCACTTGATTCTGTATCTCATTCACCCCAAACTACATTCATGCTAGCAGGTCTGAGTAGTTTTCCCAGGGATATTAAGTAGGACATGACCGCCATGCTATTACAACTCACTCTCAGGGTCCTGGGGTTAGGGAGAGATATATTCCTTCTATTCTACAAAGCCCCCACCCATATGCTTACCATTTCAACAAATCAGTTACTTATGATACCATGCATTCATAAACATGAAACATTTACTAAGTATAGAAGGTAAAAGCAACCAATCAAAATCAGTCTAACATTTATTCATCAAAAGCAGGAATAATAAAAATATGACAAAAAAACCTGGATTGTACTCTCCCACCAATATACACAGAGTATGTGATAGAGAGTGGGCAAGCATTTAACAATGAAGTACATATGTAGAGAAATACACGTGCCCAGGGCAACTCACAAATCTGGACTGCAGACCTAGATGTCTAACAGTCTAGGTGGGTTGCAGTGCCTGGAGCATCAAGTCTGGAGTTCAAATCCGGCCTCAGACACTTCCTAACTGTGTGGCCCTGAGCAAGTCACTAAACCTGTTTGCCTCAGTTTCCTCAACTGTAAAATGAGGATAATAATAGCCTCCCAGGCTAGATAATAATCTACCTCGAAGGACTGTTTTGAGGATTAACTGAGATAATATTTGTAAAGTGCTTAGCCCAGCTCCTGACACACTACATAAATGCCAACTATCAGTATTTTTATCATCATTATCATCTGTTTTAGGGAACAGTCTGTATCTCATGTAATCTGCTTCTCTCCCTGAGCCTTTCTTTTCTCCTTCTAGGCAATGCCCCTTCTCTGTGACTCTTGTGCCACTGATGCAGTAAGCTCTTTTAGTAAAAGTGTCACATTACACCATTTAAGTGAAACAGCAGCCCTGAGTCTGGGGTCTGCGGCTTTCCAGGTCTACTCCCTTGGCTGGGCCTATTTCTGCAACAAAAAGCTGCCTTAAGCCAGAGAGCTGAACAATTCTGGGGACACTGTGGAGTTTTTCTCTTTCTCAAGCCAGAAAGAGACACAAGCAAGCCCATGAGAGGTTTTCCCCCTTTTCGGATGTGGTTAACACCAAAGGGAAGCGAACCCGTTACTTAGTTTCCAATCAGCCTCCAGAGCATCTTGCAGTAGGTTTCTATACTCAGTCACTCTCAGCCTCTAGATGGCGCTAAAGAGCAAGAAGCTCAGCTAGCTCTTCATGCAACAGGAGGGAGCTGCTGTCTCCACTGAGCTCCCAGCAGTTGCAGAGCCCACTAGGCTTCAGTCCATTCTCTCAGTAGACTCACCCAAAACCAGCTGAATCTCCCATGCCCTCCAGCAAGGGGCAGTGTCCACTTAGAGATATTATCTCTCTTCTATGGCTTCAAAAGCTTCAAATCAGAGCTCCACCCCTAACTCAGTTAAGAAAAATCTCAAATCCATAGTTCAATTAGATGTGACCCAAATAAGCAATATACGACCTCCCCATAGTTACCAAATAATTCTATGATTTACAGTATCTCAGCTATAGCCCTCAAAAACCTTGAAAAGTCATGTGTAAATCAACAGATGGGAAGGAAGGGAGGAACGAAAGAAGGGAAGGAGAAAGGAAGGAGGAAAAGAAGGGAAGGAGGAAGAAAGGAATGAAGGAAGGGAAGAAGGAACGGAGGAAGGGAGGGAGGGAAGAAGTAAAAAAAGGAGGGAGAGAGGAAGGAAGGAAAGAAGGAAGTCAACACTTATTGAGCACCTGCTGTGTACCTTGCCAGGTATTCATTCATGCAAGCATTTTGTAAATCTCATTTGATCCTCACAACAATCCTGGAATTTAGGCGCTATTATTACCCCCATTTTTAAGGGGAAAGAAACAAGCAGACAACTATATGAATATAAACATAGAACATTTTTATATAAATCAATTTAAATCTAAATAATTGAAGTAATATTTATTGTTCATAGGCAGGTAAAGCCAATACAATTAAAAAACGACAATTTTACCTAACTAATCCATTTATGTAATGCCATCTCAATTAAATTACTAAAAAATTATCTTACTGAGTTAGGAAAAACAACAACAAAGTTCATTTAGAAGAATAAAAGGTCAGGAACTTCAAGGAAACCAGGGGGTGAAAGATGTAAAGGAAGCAGATTTAGTAGTATCAGAGCTTAAACCATTTTATGAGGTGAGAGAATTGCTGAAGTGTAAAATTAATAATGTCAATTATTTTAAATCAAAATTTTCTTGTATAAATAAAACCTATGCAGCCAAGAACAGAAGGAATGCAGAAAATTAGGAAGAAGTTTTCATCGGCAATCTTTCAGACAGAATGAGATTGGGTTGTAATATTATGGTGTAGGAAATATGAGCTGGTTGATTTAGAAAAACAGGAAAGACTTAGACTTATGAAGGAAGATGCTATCCACCTTCAGAGAAACAGATAACAAGTAGAAATAAGCATAGTATGATTTTACCTATATACATATGAGTGTATATGTTTATATATGTGTATGTTTATAGATATCTGTGTATATGTACATATATGTATATGTGTGTATATATATGTATATGCACATGTATACATACATACATGCATGCATACATACATACATATATATATATATATATATGTCATCATCCCACAGCGTCATTGAATGCTTAACACCTTTGAGGAAGGCAGTGGTGATGGATAAATCTATTAGTGTTCCTTAGCTACTCAGGTAGGCCCACAGAGTAGAAGGTGTGGTGATATGGTGTATATGGTATCCTTAGGGTGCTATTCCCTCAACCCAGATCATGAGATGCAGGATATTCTTTTTTTAAAATTTTATTTATTTTTTAGGCAATCGGGGTTAAGTGACACAGTTAGTGTCAAGGGTTTGGTCTGAGGCTGGATTTGAACTCAGGTCCTCCTGACTTCAGGACTAGTGCTCTATCCACTGTGCTACCTGGCTGCCCCTGGCCGACATTCTTATTAGCATGCCTCCTTAGGAAGGTCAAGGCTCAGAACCTGGCTCCTAGGTTCCTCCTGGGCTCTCTCGCTCCTTCCTCTCAAATCTGATTTTGTCCTTCTACGAAGACAGCTGAAGCAATAGCCAGGGACCCCTCCCTGCCCCATGCCTGCTCCCCCCACCTCGCTCTCTGCCCTCCTCTGTCACAGGAGGGAGGAAAGGACTGCACTGGTGCATGAGCTGTTCTTACGCAGATACTCAGAATCTGTCATTTTATCAGGATGGAGAGCTTCCAGTATGCGAGCACCCTTCCCTGATGTGGCTTACAATCTATGACCAATCAATTAATAAACATTTATTCAGCACCTTCTATGGGCCAGGCACTATACTGCGTTCTGGGGATACAAAAAGAGGCAAAAGATGGTGCAGTACATGAGATCAAGGGAGTCGATGACTTAGCCAGGGTCACACAGCTAGTAAGCGTCAGAAACAAAATTCCAACCCAGGCCTTCCTGCCACCTATACCGTAACTACAGAGACATGCTGCCTCTTAGATGTTTGGACTTTTCCTTTTTCATTGTATTCTTCCTTCTTTCCTTTCTTTTCTTCTTCCTTCCTTTCCCTTTTCCTTTCCTTTCTCTTCTTTTTAAATATCACTGATGCTTCCCATGGACCCCATCCCATTGACCCCCAAAACAGAACTCTCTTTTATTTTTAAAAAAAGTGCGTTAAACAAAATATATCAACACGTCATCCAAGTCTGAAAGTGTATACTTCGTTCCCCCCTGCAGACCATCACCCCCCTGCTGCTTGCTGTAAGTACAACTAGAGTAAACAGAAGCTGCCTGAGGGCAGGAACTCTTCCTTCCTCCTTCCTTTCTTTCTTTTCTGTAGCCTCTGTTCCTACCACAGTGCTTGGCACACAGTAAGTACATAATAAGTCTATTATGAATAGATTCAAGGTAGGAAAGACCTTCCTTAGAGGCCATCTTGTCCAACCCATACCTGAAAAAAAAGAGTCTTCCCTATAACAAAACAAGCAGTCACATAGTCTTGCTTAAAGACTTTCTGTAAGGAAGAGGCCCCATCTCCCAAGGCATTTATTTAGCTCTACTTTGGGCCAGTTCTCAGTGCTAGGAATTTTCTCCTGATGTCTAGTGTAAATTTGCCTCTTTATAATTTCCATCTAATTCTACCTTTCTTGGACTGATTCTCAGGTGGAATGGACACAGGGCCCTTCCCCATCCTGGCTGCCCTCCTCTGGACACACATGTGCTTATCAATGCTTTCCCTAAAATGTGGTGCCCAGAACTGAGCCATCGTTTCCAGTTTCAGACAATTTAGCAAGGCATAAAGGAATCCATCCCTGGATAAAAGACACCCTCATCTGGCCATGGCCTGAGATTTTTCTTCATCCCATCCAATGTTTTCCTTCTTAGCTCCATATTGCCCCAATGAGAAAAGTTCTTAACAGCCACATTGGCCTTGGAGAGTTGAACAAGGAATAGTGAGGGGAAATTGGGTTTATATTTGATATAAGGAAAATCGTTCTAAAAGTGAGAGTTATCCCAAAGCACAATGGGCTTCCTTGGGAGGTAGCTGAGTTCTCCCTTACTGGAGGTCTTCAAGAAATGGATGGGCAGGGGTGGGGCCCTTTGAATCCAAACTTCACAGAACAAATCCCCTTAATAAAAGGATTTGTTCTGTAAAACTTAGACTCAGTCAAAAGGCCAAACCCAAGGACCTAGAAGTCCACATGTGGCCTTGAGGCCTCAGGTATACTGTCAAGAGGATTCATAATTTATTATTAGGCTATTTGGCTTCTGAGGGCCCTTCTAACACTGAACCTGTGATTCCATGACCTCTTCGAAATGCCTGGTGGGCTGACCCCAGCTGCTCTCTACATATATAAGCAGTTAGCATATATAGAGCATATTTATACTTGGAACATACTTCCCTCCTTTTCCCCTTTGCTGCCCAGGGGCCCTCCCATGCTTGCTATGCCAGTCCCTGCACATAACCCAGACACACCCACAAACCTGTCCCAACCTGTACACACGGACATATATATATACTCCAGACCCAATCTTCAAATTCCTTCTCTGCCCTCCCCCTGGCCTCCTTACCAAACACCAATGAACTTTTTCTATCCAAAATGGGAGGTTTGAGGAAGGGGAAGAGGGTAGCTGGGCAGAGGGAGTGGTAATCATAGGATTTAGAGCTGGCAGAGGCCTTCGTAGCCATCTGGTCCAATTACTTCATTTTACCAAGGAGGAAGAAGCTGAGCCCCAGATGTCTAAGTGATGGACAGATGTTCCAAGGACCAGCATAGCTACGCAAGAAGAGGTTCATGAGTTGCTTGGCGACCACTAGTGATGAATATTTTAGCCACAGCAACCACAAGACAAAGTAGAAATAAAGGGAGTGATATAGAACAATCACAGAGTATCAACTAGAAAAGACTTCAGAAACTATTTAGGTTCAGTCTATAACTGAAAAAATGATCCCCTCTACATTAGGCGATGGAGTTTTTCAGCTTCAGAGGCCCATGAGATAAAGACCCTGCCCTCAGGGATCTGATATGCTTGTCCTACCCATCTGATCATCCAAAGAAAAAGCCAAGGCCAGGAAACTTAAGCAAGCTGCCCAAGGTAACACTGGTAGTAAGAGATGGAGCTGGAATCAGAACCCAGGTTTTCTGGCTCCAAACCTAAGCCTCTTCTCACTTTAATGGCCATTTGCTCTCATAATGCCCCCATGAGATAAGCAGGGCCAGGCTTCTGAAGAGTTTACAAATTGGGAAACTGTGACACAGAGCAGTTACACAACCAGGTAGCAGCAGGGTCAGGGCTATAATCAAAGCTTCCGTTCTCTTAGACTTTACCTCCTGAATGCAAATAAACACTTTGTGTCCCACACCAAGGTCATAGAGATACACAGTTAGTCAAAGACTGGCGAACATGACTTCTGGGGATGATACTTCACAGCTTTCTCTCTATTTTTTCTACTTTTCTTGCCTCAAACTTAAAACAAACAGAGACCAACCATCCATAGTCTTAGAGAGAAATTGATCTATGTTACTTACTAGCCACCAGCAGCTGGACCCTGTGTTCCAGGTGGTCTCCCAGGGTCTTGTTCAGGACTTCCCGACAGGTGTAGTTCCCCTCATCATGTAGGCCCAGCCCTGTGATATGCAGGGAACTGGCATTCACCAGGGAGTAGCGGGATTCAGATGGGAGGGTTGTGTTGGAAGAAAGGAGGAAGGTAGCCTCAGGCTCATTTCTATACCAGCTCACCAGGCCCCCAGGGCCCGAGGTATTGCTACAAGGTATGGTAACGTTGTCTAGTTCTTCTCCAACAAATACAGGTTTGGTTTCTGCAATGGAGAGAAACCAGACAGTTAGTACCGTTCTGAGATACCTGAGTCTTAGAGATAACCTCGTGGCTGTGACTTCTCCCCCACATCCAATGAGCAATTTTAAAAGGGGCAAATGGAGAGATTCACCACTTTAGAGCATTACAAGCAGTTTCAGCCACAGGCTAATGACAGTGCTAATTAACTCATCATCTTTTCTCTTTGATAAAATACAAAGTCCCCAGCCTAATACTCAAAGCCCTCCATAGGCTGGATTCAACCAGCCTCTCTGGACTTATTTCACATACTTCCAACCTTCCAATATAACTGGACAACGAGCTGTCCTCCAAATTCAGTATTAAATTTTTGGAATCCTCTGTGCCTTTAGCTGTACCCCAAGCCTGTACTGTCTGTTCAAATCCACCCCTCAGAATCTTTATTTTCCTTTAAGGCTGACCTTAGATGTCACTCACATGAAGCATTCCCTGGCCTCATCCCTTGCCCAGATGTGAGCATTCCCTGCCTTTTTTAATTGCCTTGCAATACAGTTTAATGCTAGTCTCATTGCGGCGGGTTCTCTCTCCACCAATCGCTCAATGAGCGTGGGACACGGAGGTCCTTTCTCCAGCTGAACTGCTAAGCTTTCAAACTCTGCTGCAGAGAGCACAGTGCTAACGGGCTAGCCATGTTGTTCAAATGCCAAACAAAGGCACGACCATTTTAAGGAAAACTCACGTAAGGCCAGCACTCACTTAGAAGTCAGAAGAAGCGATACAAGGACACTCTCAAGTTTCTCTGGAGAACTTTGAAATGGATTGTGAGACATGGGAGACACTGGCACAGGACCACCCAGCATGGCGTGCCCTCATCAGAGAAGGTGCCGCGCTCTATGAGCGAAGCAGAATTGCAATGGCTCAAAAGAAACATGAGATGTGCAAATTTAGAGATATCAGCACCCCCAACATGCGGTAGAGCCTTCTGAGCTCACATTGGTCTGATCAGCCAGAGTCAACCCCCTGTAACTTGATTCTAACATAGTGATGTCATTTTGGCACTCTTCAATTATGAAATTCAACAACCAGCTAATCACGCATCAGGCACTGGGAGCTGGATGCTGAGATCCCAAAGATAAAAATGTAACAGTCCCTGCCCTCAAGAAGCTTAAATTCTATCAGGAGATACAATAAAATGAATACATCTTCATTTTGGTGGTGAGAGAGAACGTTAGCAGCTGGAGGGCATTGGGAAAAGCTTCACATACAAAGCGGTCCTTGAGCTGACACTTGAAGGGAGTGAGGGATTCTAGAGAGGTAGAGGTGAAGAGGGTGTGCACCCCAGGCATGAGGGGACAGCCTGTGCAAAGATATGAGAGACATGGAAATGAGAGATGGAATATCATGTGAGCAGGACAGGAAGCAAGCCAACCGGGGCGGGCATCAGCATGGAGGGGAGCGACGTAATAACCAATCCGGAGCCCGATTGTGAAGGGCATCAAATGCCAACCAGAGGAGTTTGTATTTTATCCTACAAAGTGGCACTGGGGAGCCACTGGAGTTTATTGAGGATGAGAGGAACATGGTCAGAACTATGTTTCAGGAACAGGCAGAGGTGTGTAGAAAAATTCCAAGCAGATGAAAACCCCTCCACTCTTTAGCAGGTGATTTTGAGGGATTCCTAAACTGGTAGGACACGTTGGAGTTAAAACCAGGAGGAAATCTGCAGGAGTGACCAGGGTGGGAGAGATTGTGATGTGGTAGAAACTGCACTGGATGGAGTCAGAAGACCCAAGTTCAAATCCCTGCTCTGTTGCTCACTAGTTGTATGACCTTGGGGGAGTCATTAATCTCCCTGGGCCTCACTTTCCTCTTTTGTCAAATGAGGAGGATGAGCTCGATGGCTTCTGAGGCTCCTTCTGGCTCTAAGTCTATGATCTTACGTGTAACCTTGGCAAAAATCATTTAACTTCTCTGTGCCTCAGTTTACTCCTCTGTAAAGAGGAAGTTTGACTAGTTGGCCTCCAGGGCCCTTGCAGCCTTAGTGCTAACATCCTAAGTCCATCTAGATGGCCTCAAAGGTACTGTCCAGCTCTAGGGTCACGACCCTGTGACTTGTCTGCAAACCAGAAAGACTCAGGCTGGCGATTCTGGGCAAGAGTCCCAGGATGAGGACTTTGCATCCAAAATGGAAACACGGCCCCTCTTGATCCTGCTGGCTGAGAAGATGACAGGGAAGGAGAGGTTGAAGGAGGGCAGGGCCTGGGACAATAACACAACTCCCACTTGCACAACACTGGTCATAAAATGACTCCACAGAAGGAGCAGGGCGAACATTGCTGTCAGTTTTACGAGAGGAGAGTGAGACCCAAACTTGGGCAGCTAGTAAACATCAGAGCCAAGATATAATAGTAATAACAGTAACAGCATCTAGCATTTAAAGACAGTATCATATAAAGTACCACAAATATATGTGTGTGTATATACATATATAATATATAAAATATATATATATATATATTTTTTTTTTTTATTAGGCAATGGGATTAAATGACTTTTCCCAGGGTCATACAACTAGTAAGTGTTATGTGTCTGAGGCTGGATTTGAACTCAGGTACTCCTGTATCCAGGGCCGGTGTTCTAGCCACTAGCTGCCCCATCTATATATCTTTAAAGGATTAAAAGGGCATATATGTGTTTATTGTCTACATAATATATATACACACATGTGTGTCTGCTCGCAATAGCTCACGACCAACTCTCTGTACCCCTATTTGGGGTTTTCTTGGCATAGATACTGGAGTGGTTTGACATTTCCCTCTCCAGACCATGTTACAGATGAGGAAACTGAGGCAAACAGGATTAAGTGACTTGCCCAGGGTCACACAGCTAATAAGTGTCTGAGATTTGAACTCAGGAAGATGAGTCTTCCTGATTTCAGGCTTGGTGCTCTATCCATTGCACCACTTAGTTGCCCTTCAGTGTATGCAGTAGGCTCTTAATAAATGCTTGTTGAACTGAATTTAATATTCTGAATCACTATCAACACTTGAGACCAGGCCTGATGGGTTCCATTCTTGGTTGGTTTTTTTTTTGCTAGTCAATGGGGTTAAGTGACTTGCCCAGGGTCACACAGCTAGTAGATTTTATGTGTCTAGGGTCACATTTGAATTCAGGTCCTCCTGAATCCAGGGCCGGTGCTCTATCCACTGCGCCACCTAGCTGCCCCTGGGTCCCATTCCTTATCTCTACCCTCCTAATGCCCCAAGAGTGATCATGATCATCTTCATCAGGAGACAGCTGGATATGTATAAGTGATATCACACCTCTTGTCTCCTCAGTGGTGGGAGAGGGGTAGGAGGGAGAGAATTCAGAACTCAGGTTTTTTTTAAATGAATGTTAAAGATAAATAAAGAATAAATTATTATTATTATTTTTAAAAAAGACAATTGGGGGACAGCTAGGTGGCGCAGTGGATACAGCACCAGCCAGGGATTCAGGAGGACCTGAGTTCAAATCAGACCTCAGGCACATAACACCTACTAGCTGTGTGACCCTGGGCAAGTCATTTAACCCCACTGCCTAGCCAAAAACAAAAAAACCAACCAACAAAAAAAGACAGTTGGTACAGTGATCTTAGTGAGCCGGAAGAGGCCTGGATTCGAATCTTTGCTCCAACACTTGCCAGTGGTATGACTTTGTATTAGAAACAATCCTCTCATTCATTTTTTTCCTCTTTAAATGGGGAAAGCAGCATACGAGAAACAAAAGATCACAGACTGAGAACTGCAAGAGAACTTGGAGGACATTGAGTCTGGTTCATTTCATAGATGAGGAAACTGAGGCCCAGGGGGAAGTGATTTGCCCAGAGTCACCTAGCAGAGTGTTCTGTAAAACTCAAGAGTGCTTGGGAAAAGTAAGAGATGACAAGCTCCCCTCTCTAGAGCACCTGTGGCTTACAGAGCAGGAGTATTTCCATCCCATTTTACAGAATGGGAATCTGGGGCTGGCAAAGGATAAACAGATGTCCTCCAAAATCTTTTTGGCTCCAAAATTCTGGGAAGGGGAGGGCATGGAGTGGTGGGAAAAGACTGTTTTGTTTTTTTTCTCTCCGACCCCCTCACCACCCCTGAAGCTGACTCTCTATGCATTATGTAAGATTAAAAGTTGGGTTTGGTTCTGGCTTGCATATAAAACTTTCATCTCCAAAAGGGAAAATATTCTATTTTAAAACTTCCAGATTAGGGGAAAGGAAACTGATGTTGGAGCCAGAAGGTAGGGCTTTGCCACTGGCTACCTTCCTGACAGTGGGCAAGTCACCCACCCATTTGGGCCTCAATTCTCTCATCTGTAAAACCCAGGGATGGGACTAATTGACCTCTAAAGTCTCTTTGGGCTCTGATTTGAATCTGGGAATTAAACAAAACTTCCTGAAGAATCCTGTCCATGAGGGTACATACGCCAGGAGCCTGGGGATGGGGACGTGTCTGGAAGTCTATGTATTTACAGACAACCATAACAAGTCAGTGGGAAAAAAAGAATTAGTTCCCTGCCCCATTCTTGTAAAACCAAGGCAGAGTTCACGATGGATGTTCCCAAACCCCATTTACACACACACACACACATACACACACACACACACACACACACACACGTCCCTTCTGAGCGCCCCAGGACAGTTTCCAGTCCTACAGAGCCCACACCCCTGGCTGTCAATATAACTCGCCGGAAATAAAGCAGAATGGGGGGGCGGGGAAGGGACGGAATTCCTGCTTTTGGCAGGAGGGGGCCAGCAACACTGGAGCCCCAAATCCCCACGGGACGGCTTCGGCTGCAGATCTGGCAGCTCTAGAAAGAAACTACTGGAAGCGCAGCGACGACAGGAAGCTGGGGAGAGGGGCAGGGGCCGGGGGTCAGCCCCCTTCCCTGCTCTGCCCCGTTCAGTCCTTCCTGGCCTTGCCCTACCCAGGGTTTCGAAAACTCGGCCCTTCCTGCCTAGGCCAGGGCTGAGCTACTTCTAAAAAAGCGTGCCTGCCTATCCACCCACCGACTCACCTCCCTCCCTCCTCCCTTTCCCAGACTCTCGGGTACCTGGCGGGACGGAGCTCGCGAACAACAGCTCACAGAAGAGGAGGAGGAAGAGGAGGAGGAGGAGGAGAGGTGTGGGCGCCCTGCCCCCTGTCATCCTGATCTCTTTAGGCGCCGTAGCAGCAGCTTCAGCAGGTCTAGGGCTGCGGGGGCACAGAGGGCAGCGCCCAGCGGAGCAGGCGGACACACCGCAGGCTGGTCGGAAACGGCCCGTCCCGGGAAGCTCAGCGCTCCGGGCGCTCTTGGCACAGAGTTTCGCCCGCGCTCCGGGGCTCTGCCCAGATGCTGGGGCTGGGGGGCGGAGCTGTCGGACTTCCCAGGGGCCGGGAGGCTCGAAGCTCGCCCCCACCCAGCTCTGGGAGGCTAGCACCCTCGCCCTGTCCCGCGCTCCCTCCCGCTCACTCACTCACACGCAAACAGTGCAGCAGAGCCGCAGGCTGGATGCTCTGTGTGTCCATCCGTCAGTTGTCTGTCGGGTGGTCAGTCCAGGCCTAACCTGCCTCCCTCCGCAGAGATGCTCGGGGCCCTACTTATCCCAACTTCCTCTTTTAGCTCTGGGGGGCCGGCCTGGGAGGCGGGCACCAAGCCGGACAAACCTCGCCCGGGGCCTGTTAGGTGCCGAGTCAGCCAAGGCAGAGGAGGGCCCGAGCCGTCCGGCCCGCCTCTGCTCCCACCTTCCCTCCTCCCTCCTCTCTCCTCCCCTCATCTCTACCGGCTAGCAGCCCTGCCCCGCCCCCGCCCGGGGCAAGCTGATCTCTGATCCCACGAGGAAAGCTGGCATCCGGGGCGCATCCGCCCCAGGAAGACAGAGTAAAAAGGTCCTGCCAGCTTGCCCGCCTGCCCACTCTGGGCTGATTCCCCGGCTTGACAGCTCCTGTTTCTTGTGGGAGCCCGAGACTTAAGTGTAGTTCATGTGTCAACAAGAATTTATCAAGTGCCTCCTACGTGCCAAACACTGCCCTAAGCTCTGAGGATACTAAGACAGTCAAAAAACACGGTCTCTGTCCTTGGGGCACTCCCATTCCAATGGAGACAAACATGCAAACGACTCTGTACAAACAAAATCTATCCAGTGTGAAATGGAAGGTAATTTCAGAGGGGGGCATTAACGTTGGGGTGACCCGAAAGGCCTCCTGTAGCAAGTGGGTTTTGAGCTGAGTTTTGAAGGAAGCCAGAGAAAATAAAAGACAGAGGTGAAAAAGCATTCCAAAGATGAAAAATATTCCAGGCACGGAGGACTGGAGAAGTGTCTGGAAAGGGAGCCAGGCAGGGAGTAGGCCCTTTAGCAGCCCCTGGGTCTGATGGGTGGGTGGGCTGATTTCCATAGACTCACAAGAGGGACGTTAGAGACTACATGAAATCCAACTTCCTCTTTTGACAGAGGAACCTAAGGTCACCCTTACTAGCGGTCAGGGTCACTGGACCTGTGAACCTCAATTTCCTCATTTGTAAAATGGGGATGATAATGGTACCTCACCTCACTGGGTTGTTGTGAGAATGAAATAAAATAATGTATATTTAAAAAGCATCTTTAAAGCTGAATAAATGTCAACTATTATTATTGTTAAAATGAAAACAGTCAAAAAACATTAAGTGCCTGCTATGGGCCAGGCTCTGTGCTAGGCTCTGAGGAGTCAAATACAAAAAATAGCAGGATCCCTAATCTCAAAGAGTCTACATTCCATTAAAAGCAGACCTATAGTCAGGAAGACCCAAGTTCAAATCCAGTACCAGATACTCACTAGCTCTATGTCCCTGTGCAAGTAATTTCACCTCTGCCTGCCTCAGTTTCCTCAACTGTAAAATTAGGATAATAGGGTTGTTTTGAAAATCAAGTGAGATAATTTTGTAAAGTGCTTTGCAGATCTTAAAAAGCACTATTATTATTAATGAATGAACGAAAAGGCATTTATTAAATGGCCTACTATGTGCCATGTTGCTTGGCACTTGCTGATCTATGTTAGCATTGGAAGTTCCTGCTGGAAGCACTCACATGGCCCAGTTTGCAAAAAAGGAGAAGAAGGAGGAGGAGGAGGAGAAGGAGGAGGAGAAGGTCAGAGTTTAGTACCAGGGGCAACTGGGTGGCTCAGTGTATAGAGCACCGGCCCTGAAGTCAGGAGGACCTGAGTTCAAATCCAAGCCTCAGACCAAACACTTGACACTTACTAGCTGTGTGACCCTGGGCAAGCCACTTGACCCCAATTGCCTTAAAAAAAATTGAGTACTAAAACCCAGGTTTCCCACCTTCTAGTCCAGAATTCTTTCCTCTGAGGTAATCACCATCCACCTGGATTCTACTGTTCAACATATGAAATACCTGCTGGTCAATGTGACTTAGTGAATAGGTCATCCTTGGAGTCAGGAAGTCCTGGATTCAAATTTAACCTCCTACTAGTTGTATGAAACTTGGCAAAAATGAGTTTCCTACATCAATGAAATCATAGTTTCAATAAAAAGCAAGCAAATAAAATATTTATGGAAAGAAGGTGAAGAAGAGAAAGACCGATATTTGGCTTCAGAGGACCTGGATTTGAAGGCAGCCTCTGCTACTTAAAACCTCTGGAAAGTGGTGCAGTGGGTAGAGCACTGAGCCTGGAATCAGAAAGACTTGAGTTCAAACCCAGCCTCAGACCCTTACTAGTAATATGACCCTGGGCAAGTCACCCTCTATTTGCCTCAGTTTTCTAATCTTTAAAGTGGGGATAATACTGGCCCTTATTTCCCAGGGTTGTTGTGAGAACCAAATGAGATGATATTTGCAAAGTGCCTAGCACACAGTAGCTGCTTAATAAATGTTTGTTTCCTGCCTCTGATCCTTGGTTTCCCAACTTGTAAAATAAGGGAGTTGGACTTCAGGGATTCTTAACTTAGCATCTATGAACTTATTTGTTTTGATGTTTTGAAAACTGTATTTAAGTATAATTGTATACATTGTTTCCTTTGTAATCCCATGTATTTTATTTTTTGCATTTGAAACAGCATTCTGAGCAGGAGTCTTAGGATTCACCTGGCTGCCAAAAGGAGCCAGGGCATGCACAAGTTAGGAAATCCTGGACTAGACGATTTCTGAGGTCTTTCAGTCAATCAAAACATCTTAATAAAATAAAAATTAATAAATATGTGCTATCACCCCAACCTCTAATTAGCCTGAATTCTGTAGCCAAGGTGCCCTTTCTGATGTCCTTTGTCTGATCAAAAACCTTAAGGAACTTCAAGTCCTCTGACAAACCTTTATAAGGTACCTACTAAATGCCAGGCACTGTGCTAGGCACATAGGTGGGGACACAAAAGATGAAAATCAAAGTAGTTCTTGTCTTCAAAGGAAAGTCAACACTCTTATCAACAGAGCCATCTAAATGCCCTGTCAAAGTCCCACTCAAGTTTTATAGCCTAGATCAAACACCATTCCTTCCTGAAAGTGGATAAGACCTTTCCTCTCAGCCTTCACCTAAGCCATTATTCCATAACTCTCTAATGCAGTTATCTCTTTACATTATGGGTTAACACCTTTTGCATTTGTATCTTACCTTCCGCCTAGACCAGAAGATCCATGAGGGAAGGAATCATCTGGTCTTAATGGTTTACCTCCAAGGGAGCCAAAATGATAGCGTAAGAGGCAACTAGGTGGCGCAGTGGATAGAGCACCAGCCCTCAAGTCAGGAGGACCTGAGTTCAAATCCAACTTCAGACCAAACACTTGACACTTACTAGCTGTGTGACCCTGGGCAAGTCACTGAAACCTGATTGTCTAAAAAAAAAAAAACCAACCCCCCCAAATGATAGTGTAGCAGTTAGTACAAGCTCCCCAATCCACTCACCTGCCCCCAAAACAAATTTCTTCAAACAGATCTAGAAAGTATACCAGACCAAATTCTGATTAGGGAATCCAAGAAATTTACAAGTTTCTCTGACAAAGGCCTTACTTCTCAAATACATAAAGCACTGAGCCAAATTCATAAAAACAAACAAACAAAAAACAACAAGCCATTCTCCAATTGATAAATGGTCAAAGGAAATGAACAGGCAGTTTTCAGAAGAAGAAATCAAAGCTATCAGTAGTCATATGAAAAAATGCTCTAAATCACCACTGATTAGAGAAACGCAAATTTAAAAAACTCTGAGGTACCACTTATCAGGTAGGCTAATATGACAGAAAAGGAAAATGACAAATGCTGGAGGGGGATGTGGAAACATTGGGACACTAATGTAATGGTGTAGTTGTGAACTGATCCAACCACTCTGGAGAATGATTAAGAACTCTTCCCAAAGGGTTATAAAATTGTGCACACCCTTTGACCCAGCAATACCACTTCTAGGTCTGTATCCCAAAGAGATCAAAGAAAAGGCAAAAGGAGCTATTTGCACAAAAATATTAGTAACAACTCTTTTTGTAGTGGCAAAGAATTGGATATTAAGGGGATGTCCATCAATTGGGGAATGACTGAACAAGTTGTGGTATATGACTGTGATGGAATACTCTTGTGCTATAAGAAATGAAGGGCAGCTAGGAGGTTTAGTGGTTAGAGCACTGGGCTTGGAATCAGGAACACTCATCTTACTGAATTCAGATCTGACCTCATTTACTAGCTATGTGACCCTGGGCAAGTCACTAAATCTTGTTTGCCTCAGTTTCCTCATCTGTAAAATGAGCTGGAGAATGAAATGGCAAAGCACTCCAGTATCTTTGGCAAGAAAACCCCTAAATGGGGTCACAGAGTCAGTCATGACTGAAACAACTGAAGAACAGCCCTAAATAAGAAATGACAAGCAGAATGGTTTCAGAAAAATCTGCAAAGTCTCATGTGAACTTATGAAAAGTGAAAAGAGCAAAACCAGGAGAACAGTGTACACAGTAACAATTGCAATAATGACCAACTTTGAAAGACTTAGCTACTCTGATCTAGACAATGATCCATGACAAGTCCTAAGGACACATGATGAAAAATGCCATTCACCTCCAGAGAGAGAGAACTGATGAATTTTCGGTGCAGATTGAAGCACACTTCTTTTTTACTTTATTTTTGGGGTGTGTGTGTGTGTTTTCTTTTGCAACATGGCTAATATGGAAATATGTTTTGCATAACTTCACATACGTGATCAATATTTTGCTTGGCTTCGATGGGTAGGGGAGGGGCAAGAGGGAGAAAAAGAATTTGGAATGCAAAAATTTTTTTAATGAATGTTAAAATTTTTTTGATTGTAATTGGGAAATATTTAACAAAATAGGTTACAATGAGTCATTTTCCCAGCCCAGGTTGACATAGAGAGTCAAAGAAGTCTAGATACCGAGGAACAAGTCTGCCCAGGAGCACGTAGCAAAACATTCTAGAGCCCAAGGACTGTGTCCAAAGGCAAGGGGAGGTCCCAATTCATACAAGGGGATGTGTTAGTCCAGGGTGTAGGAACAAGTTCCGTGATGCAGCTTTGTTGCTCACTGTGACCCAGTTCCAGGTCACAGATCCTGGACAGAATGGAGATTCTAGGGTAGGGAGCGGTCATATTTTCTAGCCTGGGTACAAGCAAGGAGTAGTGGTGTGGCTCAGATGCCAGGAGTAGGGCAGGGTCGCGGTTCCAGTTTCTAGCCTAATCTGAAGCCTGTGGAGGAAT